TGGAGGAGTTAAAACAAAGACATAAATACTGAGAGACACACAAATTCACTCTTTCTTTTATGTCAACCACTAGTTCGACCTTCTGGCCTCTTCTCTGAGAAGAGGAAATCCCCAGTTCTCTGAAGCTATATACCGTAATCTATCACAGCGCATTGTGATGTATATTAACTCTTCTTTCCTGTCTTTGAAGCATCTGGAGGATACCCCATGCCCATCCACAGTGATGATTGCAGTTCCCAGCCCATTTCTAACATTCCCAACTTAAGCCCAACTTAACTTTTGGAGAAAAAAAATAAAGAACATTCCTTTTGGTCTTCAAGTTGTTGCTGAAAATTCTTTAATACTTATTACTTAGATTTTCTGGATTATCAAACAGAAATGTCCCCACTTTCCATACTGGCCGAGGGCATTCAGAGGACCAATATATCTTATCCATCTCTTGACACATATCGTTTTGTGCAAACACAAACACAACATTTCTAGATGTCACCATGGAAGCTGAAATTCCACAGAATACAATGCACAAAAGCCAAGCGGTCAAGATCCCTCAATTCATTTATCTGTGTTTGTTCACTAATATTGACATGTCTGAACTTTCAAAATTAGATTTGCAGTCATAACCGAGGTCAGACTATTGCAAAAGGAATCATGGATTCGTAGTTGTGGTCCAGCTATGGAGTTATCAGGGCTTTTGCCTCACAGCAACAACTTCCTGAGTTTAAATCCCAGGCCATTCTAGGATTTTCCTGTTCTCTATGTAAATGCATGTCTTTCTTCATTCTTTATGTCTTTCTTCAATTATATTTTTACTAATCATTCCTATAGATGTGAAAACATGAATTACTTCCTAGAGGAAACACCAGAAATACAATGAGACTGTTAGATTTAAGTATTTGTGTCAGAATGCTCAGAACATAGGACCCAGAATTCAGGCGAGACAGACAGTGATATATTCAAAAAGGAGTTTATTGAATTAGTGTGCGGCTGCTCGTGTCCTGTGGCAGGCTCACTGGAAACTCTGGTAAAGTTCAAGCAACCGGTATGCCTAAACGAAGGAGCGTAATCTATAACGGAACTGTGTTGCTTTTTACTGAGCGGGTACCAGAGGTCCAGGAGAGAAGATAAGCAGCGTCTTGTAGCAGCCAGAGCATGCAGAGGATCTGAAAAATCCAGCATGGTAAATCCAAGCTGTAGCAGCATGCCAGCTCCTTTAGTTTCTTCTGTACCGCTTCGGAAATCAATCTACATGTAGCAACAAATATTAAAATGCAAGCAAGGCCAGATAATATTGTTCAACTTGTGATATTTAATCAAAGACAACAAAAATAAAAGAACATTCACATTCTCATGAATTAAATTCTGTTAAATTTATAGTTATATTATGAGAATTAAAGCTACAGTGTGTAATAATTACAGGAATATACAGTCAGAAATGTAATATATTATACATAACTATGTTATTTATCATCATCTACGAGCTCAGCCTCTTAACCTTAAGATTTGCGTTGCCTTAGAATTCGTTATTTATAATTACATAGGAGCGGGTCTCGCAGCCATGGAGGCAGACATCTTTGCGCTACGGCAGCGCAGAGCCAACAAACTAGCGATTGCGAGATCGCCAAAACGTCACAACGATGTAGAAAAAATAACGGGTATATTTATTATCTTAAGTCTACATGAAATCTATACCCTACACAGACTAATGAAATACTATCTGTAAAGTTATCTATTTAAACAAACCTCATCACTTGAGAAGGTAGGTGATGCGGACGTCGTGGAAGACATTTTGTCCCGTAACGCTCGCCGTACTGTTGGGGGGGGAGAAGCGGTGGGGGGGGAGATGTTCATGTTGCTGCAGTCTGCAGTCTGACCGCTAGATGTCGCTAAAAGTTACACACTGTAGCTTTAAGTCATAAAATTATGAGAATAAAGTCACAACGAAAATAGTCATAAAATTACGAGAATAAAGTTGTAACATTACAAGGATAAAGTCATAAAGTTAAGAGAATAGGGTCTTAACATACGAGAATAAAGTCGCAACGAGAATAGTTGTAACATTACGAGAATAAGGTTGCAACATTACGAGAATAAAGTCTTAATATTATGAGAATAAAGTTGCAATATTATGAGAAAAATTTCCCAATATTAAAAGAATACTTTAGTTGTACTTTCTGACAACTCTTACAAGAAGCATTTTCTTCCCTAAAATGACGAATGTCGAGCATCACGTGAAGTTACACTTTGCTGTTGGTTTAATAAATAAGGAAATATTAAGTCTTTCAGCACACCAGCATCAAATTGGGCAGTATGTCAAAGTTGGCTCAGGTTCCGATTCCGTTAAAATACATACATTTCACACGGGGGACCATTTTCTAATGCGAAGACATACTCGTATATAAACAAAACATATCAGGACTGCTCATTGTACACTGTATTGTAACGAAATTGTAATGATTATAAAAGGGCCACAAGTGAACCACTGTGGTTCCAACCATGATTGGGAGTCATTCTTTAAATAAATAAAAACATATTAAAGGTAAAACTAGTGTTATAATATATCAAGGAATGTAAAAGATTCAATGTCTTTTGCAAGCATCCTCTTGCAACCCTGTTACAATCACTGACCCTTGCTCAGCCTTTCTCTTTCAAGGACTTTATCTCCAAACCTGTAGACCACATGAGATGGCATTAGATTTGTGGTGAAAAAATACATATATGAGGCTATGTGGTTGTTTCTGTTTAATCTTCTAATTTTCAGAAAATCTAAACATTTCCCTGATTGCATATAGAGCAGTCCCTTAGGCTGCACACAAGATACGTTCTCTGTTTCTACAGCAAAGCAGTACAAATTAAAAGATGTATTTTCTTCATAATATGAGGAGGAATGTAAGCTGTAATCGACTTGATGTTTGTGAAAAAGTTGCCTGCGCTGCTGCATTCTGACAAAGGAAAAGCAGTTCAAGAGAGAAGGTGAGCAGTGAGAAATGTTTCTAAAGCAAATAAGTTGTTAGCCAAACAATATAAATAAAATGTATTTTTTAAGCTTATTACTGAGTGTCATACTATGTTGTCACTATTATAATTGCTTAATAGGCATCACAGCCCCCTGTCAATCGTTGGCCCCTAGAGTCAATGTAAAAAAAAATTCCATGTAATTGTTTTGCATTTTTTTTTTCCAGTTAATTAATGTGTTCCATAACGTTTTGGATGATTAAATGAGTCATTTCAGGTCGAACAAAGGTTTTCTCTGCCGCCCTGGTGGTCTGTAGGGGAAATGCCATACTTGCAATTGCAGGAGCCCTCGGCCCGCACCCACAGGCTCAGAAGTCTCCTGCATCGCCAGAGTCTGTCTTGCTTTACGGCGAGAAATGCTACACGCCCCCAGTGAAAGGCATGCTCGTTGCTAGCACAGTGCCGATATTTGTTGTTATCATGGCGGAACCAGCGAGAAAACAGCGAAAGCCCATGTCGGAGCAGGCAAGAAAGAGGAAAAGGGCTCTCTACCGAAGTAGACATGGTGATTTGTTGCGTTCGCCTGTCTGCTAAGCTCAAAACGACCGTGCCTGGCTTGACGGAGAAACCAGGAGAACAGCTGAGCATATTTACGACAGTGCACTTTTACTTTCACCCTCTTGGGAGAGCCTCGCTGGAAAATCAACACCGGTTGCATAGTATGCCTTTCAGCAAATAGATGTGAAGTTAGGGGGTTCTTATGGGTTGTTAACTCCCTCGTCAGAGTGGTTTCAGTCAAAGGCCTCTTTGAAGTGTTACTCAGGTGAGGGCAGATCAGAGGTGAATCTTCTGTGTATTCTTCTTAAAATTGCTTTATAAATAGGGGACAGGTTATGTCTTAAGACCACCTCCTCAGTTAAAAAATGTTTTTTCCAGGTTTGAACAGGTCTCTTGGATAAGAGGTGAAATGTCTTCTAGGAACTTCACACCCAGTTGCCGAAACTGGCAGCTCACACTGAGTCTAGTTGTGCTGGAGGTTTCTTCCTGTTAAAAGTAAATTTTTCCTCTCCACTGTCGCTACAAGCATGCTATGTTTGAGGGATTGGCTTCAAGTTGACGGAGAGGAAAAGACTTTGATGGTATTATCTGGTTGAATTGTCTCTGTAAAGTTCCTTGAGATGACCTGTTGTAAATTTATTATATAAACTGAATTGAATTGGACCTACTTGGAAAAATATTCTTAAAATACAAAAAAAAATAATAATTCTAATAGCTTTTTGGTTCTATATATGGTATTTAATTGGAGCTAAACCTGAAAGTGAGTATACACTTTTTTAAATATTTGAGAGGTCAAACTATTTTGAAAAAGCTGATATACTGTGACAGTAAAATCACATTCATTCAGGAATAAAACTTTGTTTTTCATTAACTCCTCTAACATAACATTGCTTCAAATACTAATGTCCTGCATGGTCAAAACACCATAGTGCCGGAAACTGTTTTAAATTGAACTAATAAAATTTTAATCTAGGATACTTTATTCAACTAACACTGTAGCTTCTAACGGGTGGATTTTTTGATAGAAAAAATGTCAGAACTCTTGTTTAAATGTCTTTTTAGCTTCTTTGACAGCCTTCATTAAGGGGAGTTAGGGAAATATGTCTTGAAAGATAATTTTCTACCTTTCTATATTCATTTGCAGATGTCTACTGCTAAAATTGATGTTTTAAAATATCTGTGTAAATTTTAAAGAAAGGAGCTGCCTAAGATCCATAAACATTATTAAATGAAATAATGAAGCAGAACTCAACTTAAGTTAAAGTGGTACAATAACCTTTGGAAAACTATGATTAGAATAATTATTCTGGTAAGGCTGATCTCCTTCTTGCTTGTAGAAAAGCCAGCTAAGATCGAGCAACCTACAATGTTTCATTGTTTTACTACAAAAAAGAAAAACGGAAAGAACAAGAAAAAGTTCTGTAGATGGGTATGGAATAGTGTAAAAGAAATACTGTAAATAAAATACAATTTATTCTTTAGAAAAATGCTTAAATACAAAAATATATTTAATAATACTGATAATAAAACATACAAAAAAGTTGAATGTTATGATGATTATTATTAGATACATTATGCAAATCCATGCACTTCAAACAAGCAGCATTTCAAAATCTATGACATGTGACATACCATTTCTCAATATGACCACAATTGAGCACTTTTATTTGAATCTGTTATAAAAGAAAACAGAGTTTTACTCAGAAGCTGGTATAGGCTTTGAATCTTAATATCAGTCAGCAGTTATGACTTTGTTAAAAACTATTTAAGACAATTTAACCTTTGACACTGAGTTAAGGCATAAGCTTACAACAGGGACATTTACAGTGATATGAATAGATGTTGTAATATGTTTTGTAGAATCTGCTACCTTCTACTCAGAACCAGAACTCCGACACATACACGTGAACATTGATGATGCTTTGGGTAGATTCCCCGTTGGATGTCAGGTTGCGCATGGACAGTTTCAGTACTGTTTCCCTTGGACCAGTCAGAGACCTTATTTGGCGAACAACACCTAGAGTAAGAGAAAGATGCATTATACAGTATTAATTTTAACAGCGTATTTTTTTTCTCTTTTATAACTCAGTCGTATGGTCGCTGTCTTTTATACCTCAGATATATTGTAAGCCCTAATTAGGTAGTGTCTCTTTAAGATACTCTGGTTTTGCTATGCGTTCCTGCTTCTCTGTAGAGAGCGAGGGAGACGTGATGTAGAGATGGACATGTTCATTTCCTATTTTTCTTTCTAATGTTATGGTTTGTTTTGACTGTTCTCTTTGGACTTTTCATGTTTAAGAATAAAGCAGCCGTACAACCAGGCTTGTAAAGTTTGTGAAGTTTGTGTTTATTAAAGGACTTCCCAGTACCAGTGTGGTTATTAATTTTTGATCGTCCTCTCCTTCCTTAAATGCAACCCTAAGCTTTACAATATCACTGTCAGGTTTCTGTTTCTGTTATGTTTTTCTTTTGAGTATTCAGTCTTGCTTTGCTCCTTGTTTTCTAGTGTTAGTGGTTTTATTTTCATTTTGCTTTGTTCTTTGGTTTTTTCCAGTTACTGTCCTTGTCTGGGTTCTGTTATGTTTTCTTTTGAGTGTTTAGTTTTCTTTTCTCAATGTTTTATAGTCCCAGTAATTTAATTAACATTTTGTTGTTATTTCCAGTTTCTATTTGTTGCTCTCTGCTGCCCTCTTGTGTTCTCCTTCTTCCCTAGCTCTTTCCCTCTCTTGTTCTGTGCACACCTGCTCCCAGTTTCCTCATTAACCCTCTCTTTGTCTCAGTCTCCTTTAAAAGCCCTCCCTCTTCAGTTCCCCTTTGCTGGGTCCTTGTCATACACTGCCTAACTTCGTCAAACTTCCTCCAACTCCGTCTTCCTGAGTCTTCCTCATTGTGACAGTGATTCCCCTGATGTTTCCATGGTTTCTGGTTTGTTTTGACTAGTTTTTATGCTTGATTCTTTTGGATTTTTGGACGCCTGGTTTCATGTTAGTTTGGACTTCCTTTTCATTATTGTATTTTTGGATAACCTGCCTTTGTTTTCAGTTTCCCTTTCATTAAATCAGAAGAAATTCACCTCTGCCTTCCTGCCTCTGCTTTTGGGTCAACAATCCATAACTACATCCTGACAATCACGATCAATGTTTACTATGACCTATATGTGTACTACACCTCAGAATATTGAAAGAGCTACAATTTTATAGAGATTTAAACAGCTTATTTGGTCATAGTTTTATAGTTTCCTTCCAGCAGGTTTTCACGATACTTTTCTATTAACAGAACTGGCGTAGCTCAGTCAGGTTTATTCACCTCTCCTCTAAAAATTACCTTTTTTTTTTTTTTTTTTTTTTTAGCTCTTATCAGACAGAAATTGTTTGTGGGACTAGAACTATGTACTAAGGGTACCTTCCACTTGCTAATCAATATCATGCTTACCAATAGATTTGTCTGTGTTATGCTTTACTCCTGTGTATCAGCCCAAAATATGTATAACAAAAAACTTACACTAGATCCTATGTCCAAATCCAATCCTTCACTTAAAGTTTTTTACTGTACGTATATACATTAAGTGTTTCTTTTCTCTCAACATATAATTTATGTTAAACACAGCAGTAGCTTTAGGCAAAAGTTTTGACAAATAATTTGGGGGTCCTGCACTAACAAGTGTGCAGGGTTGGTTCCAGGTCAGCACTGTCAGCTATAAAGGAGGGTTACACAGCCCAGTCTCCTGAGAAATAAGATTTCCATTTACGTTTCTGAGAACCAGAAGAATGTACATGTATTTTCAGTTTGTAAGCATTACTGTAACCAATTTTTGAACATGTGCCCACAAGACCTATTTTCTGGCGTCTGGAATGGTATGTAATACAGATTTGTGAATTTCTCTCTAACCCCAGAAGGTATTTAGATTTCCTGACCTTTAACCAGGTAATGTACTATGTGAGTTTACGTTTTTTTCTCATATGTGAAGCCACATATAACCTGACAACAGCCAGATGCATGTCTCGCTCCGCCTAGCTCCACTCACATACATCTGGGACACCGCTCATTGAAAGGGATTTCCCCAACCAAATTTATGGTCAGGCCAATCAGGACGCAGGGCGGGTGTTTCCTGGATGTGACGTAGTGGAGAATCCGTGAGATTCCAACAACAATGGCGGCTCGCATCGAGAAAGCAAGCGTTAGCATTGATGCTGCTATTTCTTCTGTGTTGTCCAATCTGTCTGATATTGTTTCATTAAAAGAACATCAGAGAACGGCTTTGAAGGCTTTTGTTGGTGGAAACGATGTTTTCGCCCTTCTCCCGACCAGATTTGGCAAGAGCTTGATCTACCAAATGGCTCTTCTGGTAGTTAAGGAAATTGGACTACTGCAGCACCCCATCGTTATCATCGTGTCCCCACTGAATGCTCTCATATCCAATCATATGCAAGGAGTTCTGATAAGGCCCAGCCTTCAGTAAAGGCAATTCCTATGTCGGTGTCCCAGATGTATGTGAGTGGAGCTAGGCGGAGCTAGACATGCTTCTGGCTGTTGTCAGGTTAAGCCACATATGCTTTGGTTTGTGAATGAGACCAAATCTTTTCTTTGAAAGTGAGGAAAAAGACCTATTAGTAGATGTGTTATTTTCCAAAATGTGATATCTGAAAGTAAAACAAGAGGTCAGGGAAAGCTTCATGAAAAACCACAGCACAAATCTGATGACTGAGACTTTTATCATAACAATCATTTGCCAATACTCAGATCAGTTGAGTCAACATTAATGCTGACCCACAAGTGTTTAGTGTGGGCACAAAAAACAAAAAGCAAAATACTACAACCAGATAATTGTTTTTATTTTGTAATTTCTTGACATTTAACTTATTTGCTTTGCATTATGTTTATGTATTCTCTTTTTACCTAGAGTGCTGCAGGTTTCCTTTGTCCTTGTCCTACATCACACAGCGAAATGTTAGTGATTTATATGGTCCATTTAACTTTACGGTCACCTGAAAAAGTACTCAAAATGAAAATCTGATCTTAATGAACACACTCAAGTTTGATATTTTTTATAATCTAAAACTCTACCTCCTGCAGGTACAAGAATGACTTTGCCTTATCACTAAAACAAAATCGATGCCCACTCCCAATCTGATTTATTTTTCTGTAGAGATGGAAGGTTTCTGTACCTCATCAATAAGTTTCAGTACATTTGTGGTAAAGAGACACGTATATATATATTCACTGGATAAGAGGTTAAAGGAGCACAACCCATCAATGAATGTGCAGTTTTGTCTGTAAATCTCATCGTAGCATGAGAAAAAATTATGCAATTAAAAACAAAAATGAGTTGCTTTCTTAGCTATTATTCCATGCTAGTTAAACAGAAACTCAAAACTGTAAAGCTGTTGTCATGGGTAAAAATGTGACTCTCATTAGATCATTGAAAACCTAATTAACCGTTGAATATGATCCCTGGACTCCTGTGTAATAGCACCACAAACACATTTTGCTTTTGAATTCCACAATAAAAGCATTAAATAATTTGCAGGCATAGAATGCGCAATTTGGGGGTATATGTACTTCTATATTGATAGGCTTATTCCAACAGAATCTACTGTCTCAGGAAGCCCAGCTCATACATATAGAATGAGGAAAACCCTGTGTATAGGGAATCTTTCATTTTTGTATTATTTTTCAATGCCTGGTGTGACTTTTCTTAAACCCAGAACAACATGACTCCTCCAGCCCCATTTTCACAGGCCGTATAAAGGACTCTTTAGAGAGCTGCTGGTTAGTTGGTCTGGTTAGGCTGGAATTAATTATAGTAGAATATGAATCGGTCCTTTGATGCAGCAGAGAGGACACCTTTAGGGCCCCAGAGACAAATAACATTGTGGCTGATATAATATCATGGTATGGATGCTTTCTGAACTATAACCCCTCTAAAACTAAGTAGGTATAAGATGCTGGTTGGCATGGTCATTTGGAACCCGGTTATTTATAAGCTTTAAAAGCAAAGCAATCACATTGTTTTAACTTAACATGCCATACTGAATTTATCTATTGTCAGGTGTTACTGTTAAAATGGTATTTAAAAAATATAAGTCCCTAATCATCATTATAAATGGACAAAACCTCACAAATCAGCTACACATTAAAGTTGAAGTAAAAAAGATAAAAGGGTAAACATACCCTTCCTAGGAATCTACTGGTTGCTGTTTTTAAGAGAACATGAGATTATAGTGGGGGAAAAATGCAAGTGTTTACACAGGCTGTCAGCAGGCCTTTCTCTGCACAGGGTTGGTGGCATTTCAGCTCCGGCCTGTTTGAACAGCTCTCACCAAAGCTCAGTCAGGCAACACAACTAATTACAGGACCTTGTATTAAAGCTTACAACAACCATTTTCCAATTTACTTTTGTTTCATTTGTTCAGAACTGAGTCAGAACTCAAACTATTAAGAAAATTATTCCATTGCTTAACTCAGCTTGAGTAAAAGTGATGAGCGATCACTGCCTCAATTAATCAGAATTATGGGGCTCCTTTCGATAGTACTTAGAAACTAGAAGTGAAACACATTTGGTTGTCATCCACAACAAGGGAAATGATGATCCATAATGCGCCAGCCACCATGTCCTTTGGGAAACTGGCATTGTAAAACGACGAATCACCCCACCCACTCCTTATGCTTTTTTCCCTCTTCCCACTCTTCCCTTCCTGCAGGCCCTGGTGTTTGTGGCACCATCACTGTGGCCTACAAGGGTAAATGAGTCCCATGTGTTTGATGGAAAAGAGCAGTCGCAGTCACGCTATAAAGCTATGAAGGCATTCCTCCAGGAATCCTTCTTAAACTCAAGGAAGGATAAACTTAAACTTGTAGAGCTGGAACTGTTTTTTCCTCTGTTTTCACTTCCCTCTCCTTCTTTTTATTTTGCTTTCCCATCTTTGATCTGAGGGCAAACAAGAAAAGTCAACAGATCTGATGTTATACTTGGATTACTTACTTCTTTTAGTGTTTTGGAAATCTGTTGCATGGAGA